TTTTTTTTTTTTTTTGAGAAAGGGTTTTGCTCTGTCACCCAGGCTGGAGTGCAGTGGGGCCATCTCAACTCGCTTCAACCTCTGCTTTCTTGACTCAAGCAATCCTCCCACCTCAACCTCCCAAGTAGCTGGGACTGCAGGCATGTACCACCATGTCTGGCTAGTTTTTTTGTATTTTTTGTATAGATGGGGTTTCACCATGTTGCCCAGGCTGATCTCTAACTCCTGTGCTCAAAGGATCTGCCTGTTAAGGCTCCAAAAGTGCTGGGATTACAGGCATTAGCCACCAGGCCTGGCATAAAAATTTTCTTTAGAACAAAACATATTTTTAACTAAAAAAAGGGAATTTTTAGTATATCCCTTACTATTATTGGATTAGTCATCTCAGGCTTTACTCATGGCTCATTTGTTGTATGACCTTGGTTATATAAGCAAAGTTTAATGTTCCAATTTTTCAATGAGGTAAAATGAAAAGGTTGAAATTTTACAATCTTTTGGAATCTTTGAAAGTATTGACCACAGGAATCATATTTTTAGTCAAATTATTGGTATATTAGTTTGCATAAGAGAATAATTTTTCAAGACAGCTTCTACCTCTTTCACACACGTGAATGAAGTTTTTGATTAAATGGTAAAAATATCTTCTCGGATCAATTCAGTTTTCTAAATACTGAATTACTTTAAAATATATTATCTCAAGCTCAGAAGTACATCTTCTGAAAAATTTTTTTCTTAACCAGAACTAATAATTTAAAAGTTCAGCATATAATGGGCAATTCTCTTAACTAGCCCTTCCTCTTCCATTTTTCCTTTCCTGTTTTGCTGTTATATTAAATCAGGTCTTATACTTAAGATACGGTTTTTTTCAGTGGAATTATTGACTTTACATATAGCAACCATTTTGCTTAAATCATTCGCTTAGAAAATTTACTTACTTACTGATGATTAAAGCTAAAGCCATAGCCGGGTGAGGTGGCGGGCGCCTGTAGTCCCAGCTACTCGGGAGGCTGAGGCAGGAGAATGGCATAAACCTGGGAGACGGAGCTTGCAGTGAGCTGAGATCCGGCCACTGTACTCCAGCCTGGGTGACAGAGCGAGACTCCATCTCAAAAAAAAAAAAAAAAAAACTAAAGCCAAAAACTCATCAAAACATTATTATATGCACACACATATAAAAGACCTTTAGATTTTAAAAAATTTCTCAAACCAGTTAATTTTTTGCTGTGGTGTTCTTCAATACTCCCTAGTACAAAGCTGCCATTAGAAAGCAAGCAAGAATAGTTTTGAGCTGATTTTTGGAATGTGTTTTTTAAACAATGGTTGGTTCAAGATAAAGAATAAAAAAAATAGACCTTTTCTTATATAAGAAGTACTAGGAGTAATGGGTTATTGCCAATACCAAAAAAACAAGATTATCTTCCAAATTCATATGTCTCATAGAATTTAGTGGTCTGAAACCGTTAGAAGCATAGTTCTTCCAAGGGTTAATAATATATTCTGCCAATAGCCAACTTAGTTATTGGACCAGGGACAAAGTCTCAAACATATGTATTTGTCTAAGTATTTTACGTTTCTGCAGGACACCTCAGTAGAATCTGTAAAAAATCCTTCTATTTATTTTACTAATTTTTGTTAGGCCAGAAGTTTTCATTTTTCTCCTTTTATATAAATCAGTAAAAGGAATTTCAGTAGGTCCAAGAAAATAAAAAACGTTTATTCCAAGCTAGTCTCCCCACTGTATTTGTTTGCAGCCTTTCATCTGTCAGAGAGTAAATAGTTGCCTGTTTTTTCTGTTTTATACTTTTTATTCATTTAATATTCCTTATTAACCATACCATAAATTAAGTTCTTTTAAAATATTTTTGTTTTACAAAAAGTGGGTTTAATATAAGATATGGGACTTAAAGAAAGAAGAATTGGGTACCTTTCTTAAGCAATTTGTCTAACATGAGCTTGTGCAAATTGTTTTAAACTTTTCCTGATGGTAAATTTGAAACTAATGATGATTCCTTCTGCATTTAATTTATGGGTGTTTTTTTTTTTTTTGCAATTATCACATAATATGTTTGTAAAAATACTTGATAAGTTGTGAACAACAATTCAAAATTGATGGTAGGATTATAAGCATATTAAAATTTTTTGCAGAATTTATAAACTCAGAAATACTAAAAAGAGCAAGACCTTTGGTTTACTAAAATGTTTCATTTTAGTTAGTGGGGTGGTATAGAGTGGTGTTCACTCTCTTATATATAATATAAATAGATACAGCAGTGTAATCATCCCTGGTTACTGATATAAACTAGATTTTACATAGTGCTACGTTTTAAAAGAAGTAGATTAATGATTTTACATTCATTTTTGGAAAAATACCTTAGGGCCACATTGTTATTTTTCTTTCAAAAATTTTTAAAAAACTAATGATAACTAAAATAAAAAGCTCTACAGGAATTAGCAAAGATACATTCACATTCCCGTTTTTGTCAAGGGGATAATGAATACTTTCTTTTTCATATGCAGCCACCTTGGTAGCCCATCTGCTTTATTAGGATTGTACTATTAAGGTTACCATAAATTACTAATGAGTATGCCTCCGAAATTCTTAACTTAGTCAATAACCTTTGGAATTATAGAAAAACAGAAATTATTTTTTCTCATTTGTTAGAACTCAAGTCTACTTCATTTTGAAAACAGATCAGTACAAATGACTCTGAATTTGCCACCTTTCACTTTACATTTATATTGCTTGATTATCAAAGAAAAATGCTGGCACTCTAGACCCATCGAAAGAGTCACTTTGGGGATTCCTTTTAGGAGAGGTGGAAACAGAATTCTTTTTGTTATATTGGCAAGTTTTAGTTTCTTCAGGGGCTTGTTGTTGTTTTTCTATCTCTTTATTTTGGTCTAGGTATCTTCAAAACTTCAGTGATAGAAATATGTTTTTTTAAAAACTACAAATTAAAGAAAATTTAGCTCTTCCTACAATAGTCTGGACTCTAAATGTTTTCTCTCGATCAAACTTCCATTTATTTTTAATATTTTATATATTCACCCATTTCATTTTTTAGGAGATTTTATGAAGATGGAGCAATTGTCTTGGGTGAAGAAGCAAATATGCTTGCTGGCATGCTGCTAGGACTCAATGCTATTGATTTCAGGTACTTAATATAACCAAATGCATTCAGTTTATAAATTATTCTGCGTCTTAATAGTTTCTACTTATGATTTTTTCTTTCGGTTTTCTAAGTAAAGCACACAGTTGGAAATCGTTATTTGATTCATGTTCTCTTTCAAATGACATCAGTTTGTTTTTTAAAATGGGTTTGCTCTCAGAAAAGAGACTGCCTGAAACTTAACAAATTGATAGGCTTGCTCTGTAGCTTGGATAAAAAGAAAACTTAGACTATATCCCATTCCCCCAACAACCCCCTCCCCAGTGAAGGAAGGCTTTGAATCTTATCTCTTAGTATTTTTCAGCTACTGCTTTAAAATTAAAAAGAAATAGACTAAAAGTAGTTTCAAAGCCAGAAAGATTATCATTATCTCATGTGTTGAGATAAAGAAGATCCTGAGAGGCTGTCTTGAGTATCTTATGTCTCTTATGTTATGTATGGAGAATATAAAAAAAATTGTTAAAATTTACTTTTATTATCAACAAGATGGACTGGTTCCACACTAAAGTAACAAGTGCTAAAAATGGGCAATACAAGTTCTTTTTAGATTTATAGACACTTTTTTTGTATTTCTTTAATCGATCCCAGATTTTACGTTACATTGAAAGTAAAAGGTTTGTCTATAAGAAAACTCAAACACAAGGAATGAAGGAAATATTTTATTTTTATTGAAATATAACATTTGGAAATTCAGGAATATTAACAAAATAAGTGTAAGACAAATGAAATTCTACTTTTGGGTCTTGATAAAAATAATGCTGCTCGTTTTCACTGAAGTTATCTTTTTTAGTAAAGCACTTCCTTTTCTAAATATTTGTCCTTTTACAAGTCTAACTTTATTAAGATTTAATAAGCTAGTATTAGGTTAATTAGCTTAATTGTGGAGGATGGACATGATAGATGGAATATGAAGATTGTCTTTTTGACCGCTCTATGGATGTTAACTTTTTATATCACTTGTTACCAGCTCTATCTAAATTTTTTACAGTCTTGTTTTGTTTGTTGTTTTATTGTTTTAAAAAACTGTCCAGGCACGACAGCTTATGTCTGTAATGCCAACAGTTTAGGAGGCCGAGGCGGGCGGATCACCTGAGGTCAGGAGTTCAAGACCGCCTGGCCAACATGACAAAACCTCATCTCTACTAAAAATACAAAAATTACCCGGGCATGGTGGTGGGCCCCTATAATCCCAGCTACCCAGGGGGCTGAAGCAGGAGAGTTGTTAGAACCCGGGAGGCAGAGGCTTCCGTATGCCAAGATCATGCCACTGCACTCCAGCCTGGGTGACAGAGCAAGACTCTGTCTCAAAACAAAACAAAACAAAAAAATGGATTAAGAATGTTAACTGTTGGTTTAATGTAACCATTGACAGTGTATTAATTTGTACAATGCTTTGTCATTGGTATTGAAGGTAGAACATTTTATTCAGGCATTTATTTGTGACAAATAACAATTAAATTGCTAACAAAAAAAATTCACTTGCCATTTCATGAGAGAAGCGTCTCTGGCAAGAGATTTTTCATAAAACTTAAGTTTGATTTAAAATTTTATATATTAATATGAAATATTTATTTTCTATTGTCTTAGTTTCTGCCTAAAGGGAGAGGGACTGGATGGCAGCTTTCCTGCTGTAATAGACTATACACCATATTTGAAGTATATCCAAAGGTATGTGACATTCTGAGATATGTGTTTTAAAATCTTATTTAAAATTGAATGTCTTGTGCAATGTTTGTCTGATTAAAACTACTTTGTACTAAATATTTCTTCCAGTATCAGAAATCATTAAAGGGTACAAGCTTCAGTTGCATTTTTAGTATTTATTATTTTTAAAATACACTTTTTATGTAAATATACACTTTTTAACATAATTGTAATCCCAGCATATAGTTTTTAAAATAACAAAAGCATTTATTCATATTGCTATAGTCATTATAATAACTTTAATAGCTCTGAAATAGTCGACTGAAATTTCAAAACTATAATTCAGTATTTAGATTGTTTTCCATTTTTCTCATAAAAAAGGATAAATAACATTCTTATACATATCAGTTTTCCTTTTGTTTTCATTGTAAATTGTCAGAGATATTCAAATAAATTCTCTGAAAAATTTGATGACTCTTAAAATATGTCTTTTAAAGAGTTGTAACAATTTATCCTGTTACCAATATTGTGTGAGAATTGTGGATTTCCCACAGTCTCATCAGCATTAAATAATAATTAATGACATCTATATATATTTCTAAGGTCTGCTTGAAAGATTGATTTCCTCACTAAAATGATGATCTTTATATACTTCTTTATTTTTCCATAAATTACTGGAGTACAGGTGGTATTTGATTACATGAGTAAGTTCTTTAGTGGTGATTTGTGAGATTTTGGAGCACTCATCACCTGAGCAGTGTCCACTGCACCATATTTGTTGTCTTTTATCCTTCTCACCCCCCTCCTACTCTTACCCACAAGTCCCCAAAGTCCACTGTATCATTCTTATGCCTTTAAGTCCTCATAGCTTAGCTCCCACATATCAGTGAGAACATATGATGTTTGGTTTTCCATTCCTGAGTTACTTCACTTACAATAATAGTCTCCAATCTCATGCAGGTCATCGCAAATCCTGTTAATGCATTCCTTTTTATGGCTTCGTAGTATTCCATCGTATATATATAGCACAGTTTCTTTTTTTTTAATGGAGAAAATTAGCTTTTATTTGTCTATAATTGATTGTGAATTCTTGAAAAATATAAACAAGGGATTATCTGAAAGTAAAAAATCTGGGACAATTATTAAATATAAAAACTACAGATAGTGTCAAGAATTCGAATTTTTCACCTTTCCCTCTCATCCCCAGGGTGGAATATCAGATAAAAATTTAGTGAACTAAGGCCGGGAGCAGTGGCTCACACCTGTAATCCCAGCACTTTGGGAGACTGAGGTGGGCAGATCGTGAGGTCAGGAGATCGAGACCATCCTGGCTAATAACATGGTGAAACCCCGTCTCTACTAAAAATAAAAGTTAGCTGGGCATGGTGGCACATGCCTGTAGTCCCAGCTACTTGGGAGGCTGATGCATTAGAATGACGTGAACCCGAGAGGTGGAGGTTGGAGTGAGCCGAGATCACGCCAGCTGCACCCCAGCCTAGGCGACAGAGCGAGAATACGTCTCAAAAAAAAAAAAAAATAGCAAACTATGGTAATTACATATTGACAGTTCTCAAGGTGTCTTCAAAACATATCTTCCCCTGTATAACACAGTTTCTTTATCCAGTTGATTGATGAGCATTTGGGTTGGTTCCACGATTTTGCAATTGTGAATTGTGCTGCTGTAAACATGCGTGTGCAAGTATCTTTTTCAAATAATAACTTACTTTCCTCTGGGCAGATACCCAGTAGTGGGATTGATAGATCAAATGGTAGTTCTACTTTTAGTTCCTTAAGGAATCTCCACGCTATTTTCCATAGTGGCTGTACTAGTTTACATTCCCACCAGTGGTGTAAAAGTGTTCCCTGTTTGCTGCATCCACACCAACATCTACTGTTTTTTGATTTTTTTATTATGGCCATTCTTGCAGGAGTAAGGTGGTGTCACATTGTGATTCGATTTGCATTTTGCTGATCATTAGTGATGTTGAGCATTTTCATATATTTTTTGGCCATTTGCATATCTTCTTTTGAGAATGGTCTGTTCATGTCCATAGCCCACTTTTTGATGGGATTGTTTTTCCATACTGATTTGTTTGAGTTGTTTGTAGATTCTGGATATTAGTCCTTTGTCAGATATATAGATTGTGAAGATTTTCTCCTCCTCTCTGTGTTGTCTTTTTACTCTGCTGATTGTTCCTTTTGCCGTGTAAAAGCTCTTTAGTTTAATTAGGTCCCAGCTATTTATCTTTGTTTCTATTCCATTTGCTTTTTGGTTCATGGTCATGAAATCCTTGCCTAAGCCAATATCTAAAAGGGTTTTTCCAAAGTTCTCTTCTAGAATTTTTATAGTTTCAGGTCTTAAGTTTTAGTCCTTAATCCATCTTGAGTTGATTTTGTATACGGTGAGAGATGAGGATCCAGTTTCATTCTTCTTCATGTGGGTAGCCAGTTATCCCAGCATCATTTGTTGAAAAGGGTGTCCTTTCCCCACTTTATGTTTTTGTTTGCTTTGTCGAAGGTTGGTTGGCTGTAAGTATTTGGGTTTATTTCTGGGTTCTCTATTCTGTTCCACTGGTCTATGTGCTTATTTTTATACCAGTACCACACTGTTTTGGTGACTATGGCCATATAGTATAGTTTGAAATCAGATAGGGTGATGTCTCCAAATTTGTTCTTTCTGCTTAGTCTTACTTTGGCTATGTGGGTTTTTTTTTGGTTCCATATGAATTTTAGAATTTTTTTTCTAATTCTGTGAAGAATGGTGGTGGTATTTTGATGGGGATTGCATTGAGTTTGTAGATTGCTTTTGGCAGTATGGTCATTATTCACAATATTGATTCTACCCATCCATGAGCATGGGATGTGTTTCCATTTGTTCGTGTCATCTATGATTTCTTTCAGCAGTATTTTGTAGTTTTCTTTGTAGAGGTCTTTCAACTCCTTGGTTGAGTATATTCCTAAGTATTTTTTTTATTTTGTTTTTCAGCTATTGTAAAAGGGATTGAGTTCTTAATTTGATTCTCCACTTGGTTGCTGTTGGTGTACAGAAGAGCTACTGATTTGTGTACATTAATCTTGTATCTAGAACCTTTGCTGAATTCTTTTATCAATTGTAGGAACTTTCTGGAGGAGTCCTTAGGGTTTTCAAGGTAAACAATCATATCATCAGCAAACAGTGAACAGTTTGACTTTCTCTTTACTGATTTCGCTGCCCTTTATCTCTTTCTCCTGTCTGATTGCTCTAGCTAGGACTTCCAGTACTATGTTGAAGAGGAGTGGTGAGAGTTGACATCTTTGTCTTGTTCCAGTTCTCAGAGGGAATGCTTTTAACTTTTCCCCATTCAGTATTATGTTGGCTGTGGATTTGTCATAGCTGGCTTTTGTTACATCAAGGTAGGTCCCTTGTATGCCGATATTGCTGAGAATTTTAATCATAAAAGGATGTGCTGGCTTTTGTCAAATGCTTTTTCTGCGTCTATTGAGATGATCGTGTGATTTGTGTTTTTAATTTTGTTTATGTGGCATATCACATTTATTGACTTGCATATGTTAAAGTATCCTTGTATCCCTGGTATGAAACCCACTTGATCATGGTGTATTATCTTTTTGATATGTTGTTGGATTCGGTTAGCTAGTATTTTGTTAAGGATTTTAGCATCTATGTTCATCAAGAATATTGGTCTGTAGTTTTCTTTTTTGGTTATATCCTTTCCTGGTTTTGGTATGAGGGTGATGGTGGCTTCATAGAGTAAATTAGGGAAGGTTCCTTCTTTCTCTATCTTATCGAATAGTGTCAAAAGGATTGGTACCAATTCTTTGAATGTCTGGTAGAATTCTGTGAATCCATCTGGTCCTCAACTTTTTTGTTATTGGTAATTTTTTAATTACCATTTCAATATCGCTGCTTGTTATCAGTCTGTTCAGCATATCTAATTCTTCCTGATTTAAGCTAGGAGGGTTGTATTTTTCCATGAATTTATCCATTTTGTCTAGGTTTTCTAGTTCATATGCATAAAGGTGTTCACGGTAGCCTTGAATGATCTTTTGTTTTCAGTGCTGTGAGTTGTAATATCTCTTGTTTCGTTTCTTAATGAGGTTATTTTCTCTCTTCTTTTCTTGGTTAATCTTGCTGATGGTCTATAAATTTTATTTATCTTTTCAAAGAACCAGCTTTTTGTTTCATTTATCTTGTATTTTTTTGTTTCAATTTCATTTAATTCTGCTCTGATCTTGGTTATTTTCTTTCTTCTGCTAGGTCTGGGTTTGGTTTGTTCTTGTTTCTCTAGTTCCTTGAGGAGTGACTTTAGAATGTCAGTTTGTGCTCTTTCAGTCTTTTTGATATAGGCATTTAGGGCTATGAACTTTCCTTTTAGCTCTGCCTTTGCTGTATCTGAGAGGTTTTGATAGGTTGTGTCATTATTGTTGTAAAGTTTGAAGAATTTTTTGATTTCTGTCTTGATTTCATTTTTGACCCAATGCTCATTAAGGAGCAGGTTATTTAATTTCCATGTATTTGCATGGTTTTGAAGGTTCCTTTTGGAGTTGACTTCCAGTTTTATTCCATTGTAGTCTGAAAGAGTGCTTGATATAATTTCAATTTTCTTAAATTTATTGAGGTTCATTTTATGGCCTATCACATGGTCTATCTTGGAGAAAGTTCCATGTGCTGTGGGATAGAATGTGTATCCTTCAGATGTTGAATGAAATGTTCTGTGTATATTTGTTAAGCCCATTTGCTCCAAGGTATAGTTTAAATGCATTGTTTCTTTGTTGGCTTTCTATCTTGATGACCTATCTAGTGCTGTCAGTGGAGTATTGAAGCCCCCC